TATCCTCCGATATACACACACGAAGACGACGACGTGATATAAAGCAGCAAGTGAAGAGTGTGGTGGTGGTGGTGATGATGATGATTCCAGTGTGTCTCTCTCGTGTGGTGTGCAGATCATCCTATTATTCTGCCCCCCTCACCCGCCGCCCGACTGCCCGACACTTCCTTCCACTCACTCTCTCTCACTCTCCCTCACCCTCACCCTCACCCTCTCTCTACTTACTCGCTTTATATCACGACGCGTCATCGTTACTGTTGGGGAACGAGGAAAAAAAAGAAAAAAAGGCCCTTTTCAGGGCCGCATATGTATCCGTTGAAATATTATAATTATTCACGATTATCGTGAATATCGAATATAGAGTTTCAACGACGGAATAATAAACTATATTATTATTTAATTTATAGTATATAATAGTAATAATATAAAAAAATCATAACTATCTCAACACACTTATGTTCTCATCACTCAAATCACCTATGGTCGTCGTCCATATCTTATGTTCTAAATATTATACACATATTACATACATAATATTTAACAGCATTTTAAATAAATTTAGATAATCGATACCTACTATTACTAATAATAATAATGATGATACACGTATGTACCTCTGTCTCTCTACGTGTACATTACATACATACATACATTGCATATTATAATATGTACAATCATCATTTCGATAATCGTATCATCATATTCATCCGCTGCTATCGTACAATTATACAATAATATTATTCATAATTATCGAAAATTATGTCCTTATATTATATAATACATAACATAACGAAGACAACAACCACTACGAAGACGATTATACTATGCATTCGTGTACGCGGCCTTTGCTTCTCTCCATACTCTAACATCCCGGTGTGTGTTTTACGAGACCAGACTTCGATGCCGCATTAACAGTTCATAGATAATAAAAGACGATGATTATTCCATGGGCCTGAAGGAGTGATGTCTTCGTTTTCAATTAATCGATATCACATTACGCTATACGCTATTCTAAATGAGAAAAATAACTTTTAAACGAGACGTTACCTACGTCCCGAAAGGTATATAGAATTCAAACGTCTATTAATCTATGCTAACTACGTTTATAAAGTTATTTATTGTTCACTACGAAAGTTAGTTTTAAGATTAAACATATTGCATCTTTAAATTTATATAAACATATATATTATATTAAATAAAACATATAAAACGGATGGATGTTAGTGAAAAGTTAGAAGTGTTCGTACGTGAAAATGTTTAGCGACAACACGGTTCTCGTTACGGCATACCCGATTGTTAAATAACTACTAGCGACATCTCCGGCTATCATCATAGTTATATTTGTTTATAAACTGTGTCTGTGTGTCTGTGTGGTGTTGTGACCTGCTGAGAAGAATAATAAAAATAAAAAAATAAAAAACATTAAAAAAATGGCAGATACCGCAGTTGCATCTGAAACACCGGCTCCGGCTACGCCTGCGAAGAAACCGAAAGCGTCAGCGGCCGCCGCCGCCGCTGCGGCCGGCTCGAAGAAACCTAAGGCTAAACCTACTCATCCCAAGACAGCTGAAATGGTAAACAACGCCATCAAAGAGTTGAAGGAGCGCAGCGGTTCATCGTTACAGGCTATCAAGAAATACATCGCCGCTCAATATAAGGTCGATACGGAGAAATTGGCACCGTTCATAAGAAAATATCTCAAGAGCGCCGTCGAGTCCGGTGCCCTGATACAGACCAAGGGGAAGGGTGCTTCCGGTTCATTCAAATTGGAATCTAAATCATCAGCAGCCAAGAAACCGTCGTCGGGTGGTGGTGGTGGTGGTGGTGGTGGTAAGGCAAGTGGTGGTTCCGCCGGAACCGGTAGGGCTGCAGCTTCGTCGGCATCCGTTAAATCTAAGAAAGCCGCCGCAACGGCATCGGCGGTGGCAGCGAAGGGAGGTAAGAAAGGCGGTTCCGTAGCTTCGTCGGCTGCATCTTCGCCGTCCAAAGCTAAAGCATCGGCGGCAGCGGCCAGGGATAAGAAAGCGGCCGCAGCCGCAGCAGCAGCTGCCAAAAAGAAGCCGGCCGCCGCTAAGAAAGGTTCCGCAGCCGCGAACGCCTCTGCCGCATCCTCCGCGACAGCTTCTAAGGCGAAAGGTGCAGCATCCAAGGCCAAGAAGAGCGCCAAACCTCCCACTAAGAAACCTAAAGCCCCGAAACCGAAGAAAGCATCCGCCGGTACCCCGAAATCGAAACCCGCAGCTAAGAAAGCAGCAGCAGCAGCGAAAAAGTAATAATTTTTGTATTGCTTTATCTATCGCGACGGCGGCAGCATCGGCACCGTGAGTGGTGAGCGCGCTCGGGGGTTGTAGACTTACGATGATACAAGTTCATTATAGATAAGAGATTCTAGATCATCGGAATGTCTCTCGGCGTCCCCCCGTACTCTTCAACGTTCGAGGAATCTACGAGAGTGACGTTCATCTTACAGGCACGCGTCGCAGATACGAAAGAAAAGAAAAAAAAAAAATACATAATATATAAAAAGCCCTTTTCAGGGCTAACATATATTTCATTATGAACCCAATCATGTCGGAAACTTAGATTTCGACACAACGTTGTGTTCTCGTTTTCCGAATGACAAAGATCGTCTCCTATAATAATAATAATAATAATAATAATAAAATATATAAATAATAATCGAATACAAGATAACATTCACGAAAATAGCGAACAATTCAGTAATAATATTATAATACGATAATAACAAAGTCAGTGGTGGCCAATTGGTTAAAAGGCCGCCCGCCTCTCATGCATGAGGGCGCGGGTTCGACCCTGGCAAGAATGACCAATGTGATTTTTCCAAGTTATATATTATGTACTTTCTTAGAGTATTTAGACATCACTCACTGATTAATGTTGATTCCCAAAGAGGGTTGTTGATATCAGGCAGGCGGCCGGTCATACATATAAACAAATAGCCAAATTATTCTTATAACATGTAAAACAGACCCTGGCTACAGCTGGAAAATTGCCAGGTAGAAGAAGAATAACAATACTGAATACATAGTATTAGACATATTAAACATTCTTGTTATAAATAAATAAAGATATTATATTATGTTGTTAGTATTATAGAAAATATTAGTTACATTGTACATAGCAGTACATAATTTTGATAATAATAATAATGAAAAACACCATATAAAACATAATAATGTAACACTGGTGACAATTATTTTCTTTTAACTCACTTTTGGAAACCTTTATGACTCTTGTACCATTTACGATCGAGTAATCGAAATCTTCAATAAAACTATAAGGAATGTATAAAACTATACTTTAGTACTATAACTATAAGGAATATGTAAAACTAAACTGTGTTCAAGAAACGGTAAATAAGAATTTATTAGCTGCACAACATAATATTAAAGAAAAAGGATATCGTATATAAATTTAAGTATGAACAATATATATATATATATATATATATATATATATATATATATATATATATATATATATATATATATAATGCTTTTCCCGCATCTGCTGTGCCTAATAATTCAGATATTGACTAAAGCAATTCATTTGTTTTTTTTTTGTCTGTTTTCAAAATATATGTAATTAATGAATATCTTAATTACACCATATGAATTGATAAATTCCGTTTTTATTTGATATACTTACGCAGTTTATTGAAATTTCATCGCGTACGATTATTTCATTGAATTTCAAGACAAAATACTATTATTTTTTTTAGTCTATAGTACGATCCTCTAAAAAAAATGTCAACACTGATTGGGAAAACCCTCCCGCTTCTCTCCGCGTCTACTTTAGCTCGTCATTCGTCTATATCCCCACCCCACCGATACGTGTAGACGTATATATAGTAAAGAGCCGCGCTACGGTTTTTTTTTAAATTACTCTCTGCCAGTCGCGTGTGTTACGTTATTATATCAAAAGGTTAATATATTCGCAACAATGTCTGGACGTGGTAAAGGTGGTAAAGTTAAGGGAAAGGCGAAGTCTCGTTCTAACCGTGCAGGTCTACAGTTCCCCGTCGGTCGTATACACAGATTGCTGAGGAAAGGAAACTACGCGGAGCGCGTCGGTGCCGGTGCTCCCGTTTATCTCGCTGCCGTTATGGAATATCTTGCTGCTGAAGTACTCGAATTGGCCGGTAACGCTGCCAGAGACAACAAGAAGACCAGAATCATACCTAGACATCTTCAGCTGGCCATAAGGAACGACGAAGAGTTGAACAAGCTTCTATCCGGTGTGACCATAGCTCAGGGTGGTGTACTACCAAACATCCAGGCCGTATTATTGCCCAAGAAGACGGAGAAGAAGGCCTAAAGGATTATCATTGATGATCATCGGACCGCACCACCACCACCACCACCACCATAATCATCATCATCATCATCGTCGTCTCCGTCTACATATATACTAATGTAATGGGTATATAATATGTAATGGTTGATGTGATGTTTGTTTGTATGCATGTATACATAGTCATACATCCAATTGATGTTTATTTAAAAGGCCCTTTTCAGGGCCACAAAATAAATCGTTGTTTAACGTATATATTTTATATAATATACGAACAGTTCCATCGATACGAGACGTCAATTATAATAAGTAATATTATTATGTATTATTATTTAACGTATGTATATGAAACTACCTAAGTATATAATTAATTACATATTATACAATTTCTTTTAAAAGCAATATCATGATAATAATAAATTAAATAACTGATAGTAATCTACTTTTCAAAGTCGATAGATAATCTCATAATGCTATTATTTATTATTAGTTTTCAAAATAAACAAAAAATAACACAAAGCATTTAATGACCGAACGGTAATTAGTGTTAAGTACAGGTAATAAAATAATAATAATAGGAAACACTGACATCATAATTTTTATGACTCTTCTATTGTTATTATTAAGTACATACTCTTTATTTAATAGACTGTTTTTACATACTCTTATTTTATGATTATTATGTTATGATTATTATTTTCAAACCGAAACCCCCCTCCGCCACCACCCTCCCCCCCCCCCCCACCCCGCAGACGGAAAACACATCGGACCCCACGATCGGAACCGACGCTTCCTATTGGTCGGTCCCCGGTGTGGACGTGCGTGCTCGATACGTAACTACATACTTGAGCATAATGATACACACTAGACCCTGGGTTGGATATTTTTTTACAGAACAGCTTACAGTACTCCGTACCGAAAGCACCGTTGAAGTCAATCGTTGTTATAATAATATATCATATTATAATCAAACATGCCGCCTAAAACCAGCGGTAAGGCAGCCAAGAAGTCCGGCAAAGCTCAAAAGAACATCTCCAAATCCGACAAGAAGAAGAAGAAAACACAAGAGGAAGGAGAGCTACGCTATCTACATCTACAAGGTTCTGAAGCAAGTGCATCCCGACACCGGTATATCAAGTAAGGCCATGTCGATCATGAACTCTTTCGTGAACGATATATTCGAACGTATAGCCGCCGAAGCGTCACGTCTCGCACACTACAACAAGAGATCCACCATAACGTCCAGGGAGGTCCAGACCTCCGTGAGATTGTTGCTGCCCGGCGAGTTGGCCAAACACGCCGTCAGTGAAGGAACGAAGGCCGTCACGAAGTACACCAGTTCCAAGTGAGGAGGAGAGGAAATGAAATGAAAAATATAATATAACAAAGGCCCTTTTCAGGGCCATTAAAAGATTCACATGAAAAGAATAATAATTTATTATTATTCCTTATATAAGTTTCAACGCATCGAACTAAACATCTCGTTGGATTTTATTATAATATTTTTAATAATTACATTAAATCTTTTAAGTTATGGCGTAGAGTTAAATATATTATATCATCGTCTTGCGATATCTATCTATGTCAGAAAATACATACTTATAATTATTAAAATCAATTTGGAATACGCGTTATAGACATTTAAATTAATATAAATGTTGTATACCTATATATTAACGTCACTGACAATATACATATATGTATATATCTATAACTACTATATACTACATATTATATTTTCTAATGCTATTACAGCGAATACGAAGACGACCGTGTCGATTTAGTGACCAGAAGCATAAACCCGAACCCCTCGAACGATCCCCGCCGACTGCCTCTACGGAGTACGTATATAAGAGCCGGTCGGTTTATTTACGGCTATCATTATAGTTCGATCCTCGCTGTAGTGCACACAACTGTAGTCCGTTGTTTCATCGCGTACCGTGTCAAAGTTATTTTTATCTCAATAATGGCTCGTACTAAGCAAACAGCTCGTAAATCAACCGGTGGTAAGGCACCACGTAAACAGCTAGCAACGAAGGCGGCCCGTAAGAGCGCACCGGCAACCGGAGGAGTCAAGAAGCCTCATCGTTACAGACCCGGTACTGTGGCACTTCGTGAGATCCGTCGCTACCAGAAGAGCACGGAACTTCTCATCCGCAAGCTACCTTTCCAACGTCTAGTGCGTGAGATAGCTCAAGATTTCAAGACCGATCTTCGTTTCCAGAGCTCCGCGGTGATGGCCCTGCAGGAGGCCAGCGAGGCGTATCTCGTAGGTCTCTTCGAAGACACGAATCTTTGCGCTATTCACGCTAAACGCGTCACTATTATGCCTAAAGATATCCAGCTAGCAAGAAGGATTCGCGGTGAACGTGCCTAAACGTCAATGAGTGTCAATTGTGTTGTTTCTTTTTATACGTGTATGTGTCTAAATAGTGGTGTGCATTTTTGAATAATGATATGTACATACACATTCAAAGATCATCATACGTAAATAAATAAACAACACGATAACAAATATTAATTAAAAAAGGCCCTTTTCAGGGCCGCATATATATCTGAATTAATAAGTTATCGTTTCATACAAACGAGAACGTCTAAACAATCATAATATTCCGTATAATATATTATTAAATAAAAATAATAATGTTAAGTTACGCATGTATGTGAGTACACAGTATTTATTTAACACATAGCTACAGTATTTAGATTATGTAAGTAAAAACACTTGTATACAATAAACTATGATGAGACGCACAAAGTTATTATCGTAAAGGATACAATAAAATAATAAATATGTACATGCATTCTGGAAACAAAAAGTCGTGATTGTCTTAGATGGCAGGAACTTCCATTGAAATACATATGTACATATACTGCAGGTGCCTCGCCTCTCTCACTGGTCCGTTCCTTTCTGAAAACGATTTATTGATATGTATTTTATTTTATTTACATATAATTAATGAAAATAATATTTATTGCAAAATTTTACTGAGACATTACTCTAGAGACATGCGCCCGCCGCGGGGTCCGGGGAGGGCGATACAGAGTACCCTCCTCCCCCCCAACCCCGGGCCCGTCCCCGTACATAACACTCGTACGGTCCCCGTCCGCCACCCCCCCTCCCCCGCCGCACCCCGGTACACGCTATAAAAAGGACGGTTTTGTGGCCCCGTACCGATTATACTCAGAGATCTACACGCGTCGCGCATCGCGATAGGTAACAATCGTGTGTGAAGAAACAATAGCATCAACTACACTACATCATGACCGGTCGCGGTAAAGGAGGAAAGGGTCTGGGAAAAGGTGGAGCCAAGCGTCACAGGAAAGTGCTCCGTGATAACATCCAGGGCATCACCAAACCGGCCATACGTCGTCTGGCAAGAAGAGGAGGCGTCAAACGTATCTCCGGTCTGATATACGAAGAGACCAGAGGCGTACTCAAAGTGTTCCTCGAGAACGTCATCCGCGACGCGGTAACGTACACCGAGCACGCTAAGAGGAAGACCGTCACAGCCATGGACGTCGTGTACGCCCTTAAGCGTCAGGGACGCACCCTCTACGGTTTCGGCGGTTAAAGCAGCAGCAGCAGCCATATCCTCCGATATACACACACGAAGACGACGACGTGATATAAAGCAGCAAGTGAAGAGTGTGGTGGTGGTGGTGATGATGATGATTCCAGTGTGTCTCTCTCGTGTGGTGTGCAGATCATCCTATTATTCTGCCCCCCTCACCCGCCGCCCGACTGCCCGACACTTCCTTCCACTCACTCTCTCTCACTCTCCCTCACCCTCACCCTCACCCTCTCTCTACTTACTCGCTTTATATCACGACGCGTCATCGTTACTGTTGGGGAACGAGGAAAAAAAAAAGAAAAAAGGCCCTTTTCAGGGCCGCATATGTATCCGTTGAAATATTATAATTATTCACGATTATCGTGAATATCGAATATAGAGTTTCAACGACGGAATAATAAACTATATTATTATTTAATTTATAGTATATAATAGTAATAATATAAAAAAATCATAACTATCTCAACACACTTATGTTCTCATCACTCAAATCACCTATGGTCGTCGTCCATATCTTATGTTCTAAATATTATACACATATTACATACATAATATTTAACAGCATTTTAAATAAATTTAGATAATCGATACCTACTATTACTAATAATAATAATGATGATACACGTATGTACCTCTGTCTCTCTACGTGTACATTACATACATACATACATTGCATATTATAATATGTACAATCATCATTTCGATAATCGTATCATCATATTCATCCGCTGCTATCGTACAATTATACAATAATATTATTCATAATTATCGAAAATTATGTCCTTATATTATATAATACATAACATAACGAAGACAACAACCACTACGAAGACGATTATACTATGCATTCGTGTACGCGGCCTTTGCTTCTCTCCATACTCTAACATCCCGGTGTGTGTTTTACGAGACCAGACTTCGATGCCGCATTAACAGTTCATAGATAATAAAAGACGATGATTATTCCATGGGCCTGAAGGAGTGATGTCTTCGTTTTCAATTAATCGATATCACATTACGCTATACGCTATTCTAAATGAGAAAAATAACTTTTAAACGAGACGTTACCTACGTCCCGAAAGGTATATAGAATTCAAACGTCTATTAATCTATGCTAACTACGTTTATAAAGTTATTTATTGTTCACTACGAAAGTTAGTTTTAAGATTAAACATATTGCATCTTTAAATTTATATAAACATATATATTATATTAAATAAAACATATAAAACGGATGGATGTTAGTGAAAAGTTAGAAGTGTTCGTACGTGAAAATGTTTAGCGACAACACGGTTCTCGTTACGGCATACCCGATTGTTAAATAACTACTAGCGACATCTCCGGCTATCATCATAGTTATATTTGTTTATAAACTGTGTCTGTGTGTCTGTGTGGTGTTGTGACCTGCTGAGAAGAATAATAAAAATAAAAAAATAAAAAACATTAAAAAAATGGCAGATACCGCAGTTGCATCTGAAACACCGGCTCCGGCTACGCCTGCGAAGAAACCGAAAGCGTCAGCGGCCGCCGCCGCCGCTGCGGCCGGCTCGAAGAAACCTAAGGCTAAACCTACTCATCCCAAGACAGCTGAAATGGTAAACAACGCCATCAAAGAGTTGAAGGAGCGCAGCGGTTCATCGTTACAGGCTATCAAGAAATACATCGCCGCTCAATATAAGGTCGATACGGAGAAATTGGCACCGTTCATAAGAAAATATCTCAAGAGCGCCGTCGAGTCCGGTGCCCTGATACAGACCAAGGGGAAGGGTGCTTCCGGTTCATTCAAATTGGAATCTAAATCATCAGCAGCCAAGAAACCGTCGTCGGGTGGTGGTGGTGGTGGTGGTGGTAAGGCAAGTGGTGGTTCCGCCGGAACCGGTAGGGCTGCAGCTTCGTCGGCATCCGTTAAATCTAAGAAAGCCGCCGCAACGGCATCGGCGGTGGCAGCGAAGGGAGGTAAGAAAGGCGGTTCCGTAGCTTCGTCGGCTGCATCTTCGCCGTCCAAAGCTAAAGCATCGGCGGCAGCGGCCAGGGATAAGAAAGCGGCCGCAGCCGCAGCAGCAGCTGCCAAAAAGAAGCCGGCCGCCGCTAAGAAAGGTTCCGCAGCCGCGAACGCCTCTGCCGCATCCTCCGCGACAGCTTCTAAGGCGAAAGGTGCAGCATCCAAGGCCAAGAAGAGCGCCAAACCTCCCACTAAGAAACCTAAAGCCCCGAAACCGAAGAAAGCATCCGCCGGTACCCCGAAATCGAAACCCGCAGCTAAGAAAGCAGCAGCAGCAGCGAAAAAGTAATAATTTTTGTATTGCTTTATCTATCGCGACGGCGGCAGCATCGGCACCGTGAGTGGTGAGCGCGCTCGGGGGTTGTAGACTTACGATGATACAAGTTCATTATAGATAAGAGATTCTAGATCATCGGAATGTCTCTCGGCGTCCCCCCGTACTCTTCAACGTTCGAGGAATCTACGAGAGTGACGTTCATCTTACAGGCACGCGTCGCAGATACGAAAGAAAAGAAAAAAAAAATACATAATATATAAAAAGCCCTTTTCAGGGCTAACATATATTTCATTATGAACCCAATCATGTCGGAAACTTAGATTTCGACACAACGTTGTGTTCTCGTTTTCCGAATGACAAAGATCGTCTCCTATAATAATAATAATAATAATAATAAAATATATAAATAATAATCGAATACAAGATAACATTCACGAAAATAGCGAACAATTCAGTAATAATATTATAATACGATAATAACAAAGTCAGTGGTGGCCAATTGGTTAAAAGGCCGCCCGCCTCTCATGCATGAGGGCGCGGGTTCGACCCTGGCAAGAATGACCAATGTGATTTTTCCAAGTTATATATTATGTACTTTCTTAGAGTATTTAGACATCACTCACTGATTAATGTTGATTCCCAAAGAGGGTTGTTGATATCAGGCAGGCGGCCGGTCATACATATAAACAAATAGCCAAATTATTCTTATAACATGTAAAACAGACCCTGGCTACAGCTGGAAAATTGCCAGGTAGAAGAAGAATAACAATACTGAATACATAGTATTAGACATATTAAACATTCTTGTTATAAATAAATAAAGATATTATATTATGTTGTTAGTATTATAGAAAATATTAGTTACATTGTACATAGCAGTACATAATTTTGATAATAATAATAATGAAAAACACCATATAAAACATAATAATGTAACACTGGTGACAATTATTTTCTTTTAACTCACTTTTGGAAACCTTTATGACTCTTGTACCATTTACGATCGAGTAATCGAAATCTTCAATAAAACTATAAGGAATGTATAAAACTATACTTTAGTACTATAACTATAAGGAATATGTAAAACTAAACTGTGTTCAAGAAACGGTAAATAAGAATTTATTAGCTGCACAACATAATATTAAAGAAAAAGGATATCGTATATAAATTTAAGTATGAACAAATATATATATATATATATATATATATATATATATATATATATATATATATATATATATATATAATGCTTTTCCCGCATCTGCTGTGCCTAATAATTCAGATATTGACTAAAGCAATTCATTTGTTTTTTTTTGTCTGTTTTCAAAATATATGTAATTAATGAATATCTTAATTACACCATATGAATTGATAAATTCCGTTTTTATTTGATATACTTACGCAGTTTATTGAAATTTCATCGCGTACGATTATTTCATTGAATTTCAAGACAAAATACTATTATTTTTTTTAGTCTATAGTACGATCCTCTAAAAAAAATGTCAACACTGATTGGAAAACCCTCC